AAGCAAAGTAACACAGGGAGCCGTTTATGACTTAAGTTAACCCTTTTACTCCCATGATCTCGTTAGAAATTCTACTCACTGTCTGCCATATAGTTCGTGTGATGTTGCTTTGGAGAATTTTGAATTGGATCAACGAATTCTCCCCTAGTTGATATTTTTTTCATTCTCGTCACTTGTCTGCTTGATATTGTATTGATATTGTAAGGAGAAATTCTGTCTTGGTCACTCATAGGAGTTAGAGAGTTAAAAGGAAGGAAACTACTTGAGTACAGTGGGGTAAGTTTTCTGGACCAATCATAGAGTGAAATCAAGCAAAACCATTGCAATCTTGGATTACGTTGGACATTCAATTATTGCTCTTGATAGAATTTTTGATAAAGAGAGGTCCCCTGAAATCCGTCGTGAAGATGTTTCTCCAACTTCAACCATGAAATCAAACTCGCCAAACCTTTCTTTTGATAGACATGCATCCCCCTCAAATGATGTGCCTCCAAGCAGCCTCGTTTCTGTGGTAATCATGGAAGGGGAGGGAAAAAGGAATTGAGTAGTCACAGCGTCAGAATTACGAGTAGTGCATAGGAATTTATAGCAGATTTACAACGAGCATCTTTTTTGAGTGAGAAAATGAAAAAGGAGAGATTTGGCACATGGGAGGGTAAATTCCATATACGGCCCAAGGGCTCTGCTCATATGGAGTTGGGACGGGAAGAGGGGCTAAGGGGGAAGAGGGGTTGAGGGGGAAGAGGGGTTGAGGGGGAAGAGGGCTACTTTCCCGACAGCACAAAGTGTTCCGTACCATTTTCTACAGACAGAAATCTGGTGGAAATTGAAACCAAAGACTCGGCTTGCTGCCCCCAAGCAGAGGTAGCACTAACAATGGTATCTAGTATTTTGTATTTTCTTTTTTTCCCAACTCGTCTCAAATTGTCTTCAAAGCAAAGGCAACTGACACGAGCAGTATGGAAGTGCGAAGTGTGACGTTTAGGGAGAAAGAAAAATAAAGTCTCGTCCACTTCCTCCTTAGCTTTGTCCCTTTCTCCCCACTTTAGTGCCGCGTGCATTGTGGAAACGACCGACGAGGAGTCCGCCTTTGTCAGGTTCCAGCGTCTATAGGCCATTTTCAGTGTAAAAAACAAAGACCGAGGCATCTGGAAATTATTTTAAGTGGTAGTCTTTACTTCGGAGGGTGAAACCAGTCTGATTCAGGGATAATGAGTAATCGCATTAGTTGAGATTTTTATGAAGTTATGTTTGCGCAACTGGAAACACGCTGGAGCTAGCTCGGTAAATAATATAGAAAAAAAGGAAATCTTAGGTACTATTAAATGAAATTAATTGGCAATTCAGTCTTGTATTTCTTTGTTTGCTTTGAATCCCAGGTTAGATTTTCGGGCATATTGACAATGGAATAAAATGTACACTCGGCTAGACCTAAACTATAACCATCTACAGTTATTAGCTCTTAACATTCTACAACCATCTTCCTTTCTTAACGAGGGAGGGGTGGTATGAACTCTTACATTGTCTTTTGACGTCGCTATGCCGACGAGTTGTCACACCAATCGAGTAAAATACCTTGGAATCTTGTTAACTTTCTAAAATGTTTTTTTTTTTTTGGAAAATTAGAACTCCAGTTCACTCACCTAGACTGTATATAAGACAGGGTATTACAACAAGTCGCAACTCTAACATTGTCAGATCCAAATTTTTTTTGGATTAATAAGTAACGCAACAAACTCTTGCGTTACTAATCCAGATTATGGTGCAGAGGCCCTCAGTGTGTTTCGTGTTCTGCGTAGAAAGTAATGCCGACGAACTGTTCCACCACAAATCGTATAATTTGATGGTTATTTTTTGACGATATTGCAATTATTCGATTTCTGTGGCGGGCCGTTGGCTACAGGTTAGCTTAAAGGCTTAATTCGGGTTAGCAACTTTTACTACACTTATCCTTTTGAAATTGATTTACTCGAAAATGTGATATAAAGTACAAAGCTTAAATGTCAATCAATGTTATTAATCACGTGATTCTCGTTCATTTTAACGAAACATTCAGGTCAAAGCTTTTTCAGACGAATGGCCAGTGCACGATGATGATAATCTTTTACTTGACTCAGGTCACCCAGCTTTTGGTGTACAGAACCCAGGCTACCGTAAGAAGCTGCGAAGTCAACATGTTCGGATCGAAGCTTTTTCAAACGAATGTCCAGTGCACGATCATGATAATCTTTTGCCTAACTCAGGTCACCCAGCTTTTGGTGTACAGAACCCAGGCTACGGTAAGAAGCGGCTACGTCAACATGCTCGGATCCAAGCTTTTTCAAAACAAATGGCCAGTGCACGATCAAGATAATCTTTTGCCTGACTCAGGTCACCCAGCTTTTGGTGTACAGAACCCAGGCTACTGTAAGAAGCTGCGACGTCAACATGCTCGGATCCCAGCTTTTTCAGACGAATGGCCAGTGCACGATGATGATAATCTTTTGCCTGACTCAGGTCACCCAGGTTTTGATGTACAGAACCCAGGCTACCGTAAGAAGCTGCGACGTCAACATGCTCGGATCCAAGCTTTTTCAGACGAATGGCCAGTGCACGATGATGATAATCTTTTGCCTGACTCAGGTCACCCAGCAGAACCACATCTCT